ATCATAACAGTCTGGACCACTGGACGGGTTCCGCAGGATTGGAAGGATGCCCTGGTGGTCCCCCTTTTTAAGAAGGGGGACCGCACAGACTGTAACAACTACAGGGGCATTTCACTCCTCAGTGTGCCGGGAAAGGTCCTGGCAAGGATTATTCAGCATCGCCTTGCCAGGCACGCTGAGGAGAGGCTTGCGGAGCCCCAATGCGGTTTCAGGAAAGGGCGGTCCTGCACAGATGCCATATTTTCTGTCCGTCTGCTACAGCAGAGGTGTGGGGAATTCCAACAAGACCTACATCTCTGCTTTATTGACCTGGTCAAGGCCTATGATACCATCAGTAGGCCTGGGCTCTGGGTTGTTCTTCGTGCTTTTGGAGTACCTGACCCTCTGCTCACGATCATTAAGGACCTTCATGATGGTGAGCGGGCCCGGGTAAAACTACGTGGTCGGGAGTCAGAGCCATTCCCTGTACACCTTGGGGTGCGACAGGGATGTCCTCTGGCTCCCACATTATTTAACATCTATTTTGACCACGTAGTTCGTAAAGCCTTCAATAGCTGTACCGGGGGAATCTCCATTTGGTACAGATATAATGGGAGGCTGATCGATGCCCGGGTGTGGTCAAGGGATGGCTCCCTATTGCTCAACCACGTTATGTATGCTGATGATTTGGTAATAGCTGCTCATTCAGAGGAGGAGTTAGAGACGCTGCTGCTGAGACTGGAGCGTGCCACTAAGAGGTGGGGCCTTACCATCAGCCCCACCAAAACTAAGCACCTGCCTGGGGATTTTGTACCATTGGACACTACACCCCCACAACTCCCAATCGGTGATGGGGCAGTTGTGGAGCGAGTGGAGAGTTTCCCATACCTGGGCAGTGTGCTTATGACCGGCTCCAGTTTAACAGCAGAGGTCTCACTCCGAATCAGTCGAGCGGCAATATCTTTTCATCGGTTGCGTAACGCTGTGTGGAAGCTACCTGGTCTGTCGCTCCGCACTAAGCTTCAGGTCTTCTCGGCCACGGTCATTCCCTCCCTTCTCTACGCTTGCGAAACGCGGACCTCCCTAATGGAACATCTTCGCCGGTTAGAAACATTTAGGCTAGCCTGCCTACAATCCATCCTGAATTTAACCAGGCTGGATTGTGTGAGGTGCTCACAAATCCTTGAAAGATCTGGGCAAGGTCCCATCGGTGAGCTCCTCTGGCGGGGAAGGCTGCGATGGCTGGGTCATGTAGCCCGCATGCCCAGACACCGCATGCCGAAACAGCTTTTGTTCGGCCAGATCGAGGGGGCTAAACGAGCGCGGCACGGGCTAGTGAAGAGATGGAGTGATGTGGTACAGGAGGACGTGGAGCTGAGTGGACTTGCCAATGACTGGTACCAGCGGTGTCAAGATCGGCCTCTGTAGAGGAGGCCCGTGAAGGACACTACTAGGCAGTTTGAGGCAGTCGCCCTCCAACAACAACGGAGGGCGGAGGAGCGACGCTCACAACAATGAACGGAGCGCCGGGTGGCTAAAGCACAGCAGGTTGGCACAGTAGGGGGCACAGGTGGTGCATCAGCCAGTCATCTCAGTCATCTTAGTCAGTCGACCCGTGGTACTTGGGTCTGCCCCGTGACCTCCTGCCAGCGGGCGTTCGTCACTTCACGTGGCCTCAAGGTGCACATGGCCTGGCACAAGCGTCGTGGTGACGTCACCGCCACTTAGTGGCGAATGGCGGTTGTTGTTGTGCGTGTGTGTGTGCGTGTGTGTGTGCGTGTCTGTGTGTGCGCGTGTGTGTGCATGCGCGTGTGTGTGTGCGCGTGTGTGTGCGTGCGCGCGTGTGTGGGGAGCGGTGGTGCAGCGGTTAGCGTGCCGTGCCACGAACCTGGCCTCCCGAGTTCGATTCCCGCTCACGGCCAACACCGGCGACGATTATCTGAACCGTTACCTGGGACCCCCCTCAGTCGACTCTGCCTCAAATAAGTGCCTGGTGCGGCGTGTAGTAAACATCGCCATTGGGGAGACAAAGGCGGCCGGGCGTGGTGCTGCCCACCCACCCCCTCGCGTGCCGTGCTGGCATTCATAGGTGTCAAGGCTATACCGGGGATCTTTGTCTTTATCTTTGTTTGTGTTGTACGTGTTTACGCACACACGAGACCGTGCGTGTGTGTTTGTGCACACACGAGACCGTGCGTGTGTGTTTATGCACACACGAGACCGTGCGTGTGTGCGTGTGTTTACGCACACACGAGACTGTGTGTGTGTGCGTGTGTTTACGTACACACGAGATAGTGCGTGTGTGTGTGTGTGTTTACGCACACACGAGATAGTGCGTGTGTGTGTGTGTTTACGCACACACGAGATAGTGCGTGTGTGTGTGTTTACGCAAACACGAGACAGTGCGTGTGTTTACGCACACACGAGACCCAGATCTGATGCGCCCAGCCAGCAGCGCATTCGCTGCTCGTCGCAGAGGCTCGCGGTACGAATCCGGCGGCCGCCCTGGCTAATACTGCGCTGTGTAGCAATATTGCCACGCGCCACCTGCTTCACAGTGAACGTTGAAGATTCCGTGACGACGTTCGTTAAATAATGTCACGCGAGCCGGCTTCACGCGGCCCAAAAGCTGCCAAATTTTAAAGATTTCCGTGAAAATTATTTGAAACACTGTATCCCAAGGAACAAGGGTACTGCCTTCTCCTGGCCAGCCAGGTTATGGGTCCTCCTTGAAGCCCATGGGAAGGGAATTTCACAACATTTGTCTGATCCACCAACCCTCGCTGCATCCTCTACAGTGCTGGATTAAAAGTGTGTGTGGCCACCACTACCCAAATTGCAGCTGAAATCTGATTTTGTAAAAAAAAAACGCCAATTCACCACTAAGGTTCCAGCCGGTAGCTGGAACCATCACACAAACTCCCGTCATCCTCGCAGTGGCTTTTGGCTAACCATCGGTCATCGCATCGCGCACCTTAAGATGTGCTTCTGGGGCCGTCTGGAACGCTCTTCCTTCTGATATTAGGAAGCCACTGGAGCTGTGCACTTTTAAATCATCAAGATTGAAAACTCATTTCTTTAGAACTGTTTTTTGTGTTTAGTTTGTTGTCCTTGCCGCGCGCCTCTGATGAGCACGGTTGATTACGTACGGTGCGAAAGAAGTTCACCATACGTACATGGGTCGGCACATTGCGAGTCACCAGCACCCTCATCATCAGTCAAGATAAATTCACTGCTGGACGGAGGCCTTCCCAGGCCGTCGCCGCCTCTCACGATCCCACGATCCACCGAGCGCCTGCTCAGGAACCGATCTCGTCGCTCTGTCTCCTCGCTAGAGAATCCTCTCGGGTTCGTTCCATTTCTTGGCAGCTACTCTGCCATTAATGTTCACCAGCGGAACATCATCCACCCTGGGCGGCACGTGCCCCCTGCCCAAGCCCCGCACGCTTCTCTCTCTCTGCACGATGGAGATATCGCCGATGGCAAATGCAAGCGACACATTTACGAACGTGGCACCCGCTTATGCGACGGTGGTGAGATGTTAACTGCCTCGCCTAGTATGCAGGAGGTCGTGAGTCTGACCTCGACCCTGACACCTGTTGTATATTTAGAGTTTGCGTGTCTCTCTCACCGTGGTCACGTAGATTTGTCTCCGGGTCCTATGGTTTTTTCCTCCACATTTAGAATCGACATGCGGTTAGAGTATTTGGCTGCTATAAAATGTCAGCGCGATAAGCCACTTTGTTCGTCGATCATTTACGATTGCCAGGTCGCTTCTGAAAAGAGCTACGTAGCTCAGTGGGGCTGTACCTGGTAAAATAAAAAAAGTTTATTTTTGCTTTAAGATTTTGTACGCACGATAAGGTCATTGGGTCATTTGGTCAATGTGCGACAAGCGGGGCGGCATCCGGGGCAACCCAGAGTGCACATGCTACAGCTGCAAGACTGTGATGCATCGCGTGGAGGAGGGAAAGGAGGGTTGCCCTTTGAGCGAGTTTCAAGCAATTTTGTTGAACCCGGTGGTGAGAACTCGATGGGCAAGCGTGGCGTGGGTCAGCAGGATGACAACATAAATAAAACAGAGTAAAAATAGAGCAATGAAGCAAAGTGAAATCGGTGCAACCGCATTCCAGAATAAATGAAAACATCATTGAAAAAAAGTTATTTTCTGGAACGAAGGTTGGCTCGGACAAATTACTTTTAACAACCATTATACGGAAAAAGTTCGATACGATTGTCGGTAACCTCGATTGTAAAGGTGCGAGGTCGCTGCTTTTGGGGACGCAAAGCGCGGACTGGCATAAGGAGAACAGAGAGAAAACCGAGAGTGCTGAACCCTCCTGCTGCTGTGGGCCACGTCGGGGCCTGGCCTGGCAGAGCACCTTCACGAGCGGCAGCACCGCGCACACGCCCTCCCCGGGGCCACGGTCGCTTCCTAGGGCCACGGTCACTTCCCAGGGCCACGGCCACTCCCGCAGGGCCACAGCCTCTCCCCCGGGGCCACGGTCACTTCCCAGGGCCACGGCCGCTCCCCTGGGGCCACAGCCACTCCCCCGAGGCCACGGTTCCTCCCCTGGGCCACGGTCACTTCCCAGGGTCACCATCGCTCCCCCGGGGCCACGGCCTCGTCCCCGGGGCCACGGTCGCTTCCTAGGGCCACGGTCACTTCCCAGGGCCACGGCCGCTCCCCCAGGGCCACGGCCTCTACCCCGGGGCCATGGTCACTTCCCAGGGCCACGGCCGCTCCCCCGGGGCCACGGTCACTTCCCCGGGGCCACGGTTCCTCCCTTGGGCCACGGTCACTTCCCAGGGTCACCATCGCTCCCCTGGGGCAACGGCTGCTCCCCTGGAGCCACGACCACTCCCCCGGGGCCACGACCTCGTCCCCGGGGCCACGGCCGCTCCCCCGGGGCCACGACCTCTCCCCCAGGGCCATGGCTACTCCCCCGAGGCCACGGCCGCTCCCTGGGGCCAGAGCTGGAGGGGAGAGTCACAGCGAATTTACCCGCGAGGTGCGTTACCTGCTTCTCCACCTTGATGACCCGACCCATCATGCTCTGGTCTTCCCGGATGTCAGACTCTTGGGAAACCTTCTCCCGCGATCGGATTCTCTCAGTGCTCAACGCCGGCTGAACCTTGCCCACGATCTGATCCACCCTGGACGCGAGATGGGGGGCACGGGGAGATGGCGACGTCCTTATCAGCACGGCCTCCAGAGCCAACGCCGGGCAATCTCGGTGCCCATGTGCCGGTGCCTGCACGGGGCCGACGCGTGGTGCTTTCGGCGCTCACCGGGCCTGCAGGCTCTTGATGCGGCTCAGCATGTCCAGGTGGCCCGCCGAGTACTGCTCGATGACGTCCTTCACGTCGTACGGTCGCAGGGTCTCCTTGAACTTTCTCTTGGCCACATGGAACTTCATGATCCTGAACGCACGGCGACGAGCGGCGGTGGCCACACGTGTGATTCTATCGTCTCCGCGTGTGTGCGTCGCGTGTGTGTACGGGTGTGTATTGTGTGCATGTGTTATTGTGGGTAGCAGTAATGTAGTGGTCAATTTGCTCTGCTTTCGTACCCAGCGACCCGAGTTCGATTCCCGCTCACTGCCAACACCAGTGACGATTTTCTGAACTGGTCCTGGGCCTCGCCTAGGTCGACCCAGCCTCCATCAAATGAGTACCTGGTGTGATGTGGTGTAAACATCGCCACCAGGGATACAAAGGCGGCCGGGCGTGGTGTTGACCACCCACCCCCTCGTGTGCCGTGCCGGCCTTCTTAGGTGCTCGCAAACAGCACTCGCCCCTACAGTCTGTCAAGGCTATACGGGGGATCTTTGTGTGTGCACGCGCGCGGTACGTACCGCACCCCGCGGATGGCAATGCGCAGTGCAGGCGTGAGCTCCTCCACCGCCATCTCACAGTGGCACCTCCGGTCGTCAAACACCTCGTCCGTGCTCTCTAAGGGACAAACGAGTGACATGAGCAAACACCTTTGAAGGCCGGCGCCACAATGCGCGAGGAGGTGAGTGGCCAGCACCACGCCGGGCAGGCTGTGCATCACCAGTGGTTTATGCACCGCACCAGCCACTATTTTAAGGCTGTGCCGACCTAGTGGAGGTCCAGAATCGGTTGAGATATTAGCCACTGTGGTTGGTGATGAGTGGGAATGAAACCACTGCACCATCGCTCCCATCCCCTCTCTGCATATGCACGTACAAACATCTCCCGTACAGACTTAACACCATTTCTAGGACAAGTGCTGTTAGCGAGCACCAATAAAGGCTGGCACGGCACACAAGGGTGTGGATGGGCAGCACCACGCCAGGCCACTTTTGTTTCGCACCAAGGCACTCATTTGAGGCCGAGTCGACTTAGGCGAGGCCTCGGACCAGTTCAGAGAATCGTCACTGGTGTTGGCCTTGAGAGGGAATTGAACTCGAGTCGTCCGGGTCGTAGCACGCTTTGTACCACCACCACTACATCTTACCAGCCTCTCACCATTCCAGGACAATGTACCACTACCACTCTGAACCAGTCTCACTCCACTGTTAGACAATGAACCACCACCACACCGAGCCAGTCTCTCTCCGCTGCTAGAGAATGTACCACCAACACCACCACACCGAGCAAGTCTGTCTCCACTGTTAAAAATGTACCACCACCACGCCACTACCACACCGAGCCAGTCTCTCTCTGCTGCTGGCTGCGTACCCTCGGAGCACTGGCGAGACTGTGCGGCACGGAGCCGCAGCGAGGGCCGGAAGCGCGTGCGGTCGTTGAAGCTCCAGCTCTTGGTGACCTTGGCTGGGCTGCTGGGCCCTGCCGTGTCCGTGCTGGGGGAGCGGCGATCCGCGCCCGGGGGGGCCCGGCCCCCCGCACCCCCACGGGGAGGGCCCTGGGCCCCTCCCCCCGACCCCGCCGCAATGCACCCGCCCGTCGCCGCGCCGCCGCCGACGCTGCCGCCATAGCCGCCGCTGGCGGTGGTGGCGGCCGCGGCCCCGCGGGGACTGGAGAGGCGAACTCGCTCGCGCAGACTCAGCTTCTGGCTGCACACGACGCGGGCACACGGTGGGGCGCTTTGGTGACGACGATACCGCTGCATGCGTGCGGTACACCACGCGCGATGACAGAGACACTCGTACACGTGTGTGTACTATACAAACTATTTTACCAGGTAAGGCCCACTGAGCTGTGTAGCTCTTTATCAGAAGCGACCTGGCCACAAATGATAGGGCAACGAAGTGGCTTGGCACGTGGAAATATATAGCAGCCAAATACTCTAAACGCATTAAAATTCTGAATGTGGAGGAAAAAACCTGAGGACCCGCAGAAAACTCCACGCGACAACGGGGAAAGAGAGACACGGAAACTCCAGAGAAACAGGCGTCAGGGTCGAGATCAAACCCACGACCTCCTGTATACCAGGGGAGGTAGTTAACATCTCGCCACTGTGGCACTACTAGGGAGGTCTCCCAGATTAGACATTTTAGGCGATCCAAAAATGTTTCCGCTTCGCGTCCGATTGATCCGAAATACTACGTCACATCATGTGACGTCACTATCGCAGGAAGTGATGCCACATCGAGTGACGTCACTTTCATGAGCAGGAATACGCCGTTAGATCATCGCGTCGTGTGAAACATGAGGAAATCTAGAATGATTTAACATTTTCTCTAACAAACCCAAATCTATTTTCCCCACATTGAAAACTAAACCCTAATATATATACAGTACATAATCACAAACACACTAAAGACAAAAAAACAATAAAGACAAAATGTTGGGACAAGAGCTCTCAGTAAAGACAAAAGATCCCCGGCATAGACTTAACAAACTGTTGGGGCAAGTGCTATTAGAGAGCACCTATGAAGGCCGGCAGGGCAAACGAAGGAGTGTGTGGCCAACACCACACACGGTCGCCTGCGCTGATGTTTACACACCATGCTAGGCACTCGTTTAGGGCTCAGTCGACGTAGGGGAGTTCCAGGACCAGTTCAAATAAATCACTACTGTTTTTTTACCTTGAGCGTGAATCAAACTTGTGTCGCCGGGTACGTAGTTCAGTGCGCTAAACGCTACGCTGGCAGTCACCACTAGAAAGGCAAAGCCCGCCCCCCCTCCATACTTCCTTAACAGACTGTTGGGGCAAGTGCTCTTAGTGAGCACCGATGAAGGCCAGCATGGTACACGAGGGGGTGGCTGGCCAGTACCCCGCCAAGTCACCTTTGTCTCCCCAGCGGTGATGTTTTTACACACGGCACCAGGTACTCATGTGAGGCTGAGTCGATCTAGGGGAGGCCCACGACCGGTTCAGAAAGTCGCCACTGGTGTTGGCCGTGAGCTGAAATCGAACTCAGGTCGCTGGGTTCGTAGCACAGCATGCTAACCGCTACACGACCGCTCCCCACTACGCACATGAATGGACACATATTTACAATACATCATCCGCACACACACATATATATATTTTTAGTCAGCGTAGATTATCAGTCGTGCACAATTAAAACGAGCACACATCATCTCACAAAAAATGTGTGTCAATGCGTTAAATGCGCGCCAGTCACACAAGTCATTTACAACCACCACACCGCCCGCTCCCCACACGCAGCCCACAACCCCGGCATGCGTGCACCATTGTAGGTGCTCGCGAACAGCACAATCTTTTGCAGGGGATAAACGGGGATGTGCATCCTCGTCCAACGTTCCCAGGCACACACACACAAGCATGCAATGTGACTGTGGCCAGAAGCCACACGTGCGCTTGCAGGTGCACGGTTATACATGCAGCCCTTCCAAGCGCTCATGCAAACGTGGTGCACACACAGGCACAGGCACCCGGTCGCCTGCTGGGATGAACACAGCACCAGGATGCCGTGTGGATTTTGCCTCATATTGTACATCGCGGCAATGCTGCTGTGTGCGTCGTGGCATTGTTCGGCAAGGAGAGTGGGACCAGGAGTCCTATTTAGGCAGTCGATTAATCGACTAAACTTCGACTGCTTCTTCCGTGGCCTACTACCCGGGGCCTCTTTAAGAACGGCACTCCGCCTCGCGAAGGCTGAAAACCCCATTGCAAGCCACGCCGAGCGTGATGCCGCCGATGATGCCGATGGTGTGACCGAGCACCAACCTATCGCCTCCCGTCGAGTGGCACACGTGGAGAACAGAGGCGAAATATTGTGATTCCAGCAATCCGCCAAGTTGAGTAACGTAACCGCTAATTGGTAGAGTGATCGATCACCTGAGGAGCCGGATCGCCCCCCATTTCCACCTCTGTTGTGATTTCAGTTGTGATTTCAGTTGAGACGAACGATTCGGGAATTCGGTAGTTCCACAAGAAGCTCCCCGGCACGCGGTGCAAAAGGTCGGACATCATGTCGGCATGCAGCGCGACGCGGGGGAGAGCTGCGCCGTACAACCTCGAGAGCGAGCACAGCATTGTAACGGGATCCCGGGCTCCCGGCGAGTGCCGCATCGTAACGGGATTCCAGGCTCCCAGCGAGCGTCGCTTGGCAAGTGGAGAAACGTCTCTCTGGAACTCTGACGGCGTGCAGAGAATGAAAAGTAAGAATAGGTTTGTACCCTTTCTGGCAATAAAACAGAAGGCGTTAAGATGTTCAAATACCAAATAGATGAAACCTTTTGCAAGGAATCAAGTCACTGCATTAACCACACGTGGTACTTGTGGTGAACATGCAAAAAAAACATGCTCTGGTATATGCATTGTTTTTTAAACCTATTGGCCTACACCAGAGACAGCCTTTGTTAGGGCCTAGACTCACCAGTGTCAGACCAGAGAACCCCAAAAAGCGAACTGAACAAAGGCAACGACACTCTCAGAGCATTTATAGCTCGGGGTGAGCAGCTACAAAATGGAGCTTTTTTGCCAGTATCAAAGCATGAAAAAATAAGAATATTATCAGAGCATGTTTTGTATGCATGTTCATCACAAGTACGTGTGGTTAATGCAGTACATGATTCCCAGCAAAAAGGTTTCTATTTGGTGTTTGAACATCTCCTGTTTTCTTGCCAGAAATGGATGAACATCTGTTCTAATTTTTCATTCTCTGATATTGGCAGAAATGGTCTCATGGCGAGAACAGCGTCGCGCGATGCCCCATGGACGACGCCGCAACGGCCCCAAACGTCGCGCAGCAAGCGGCGCTATCGAAGATTGGGATTGTAAGGGCGGAACGTGTTTCTTGACCTGAGCAAGGCTACTGTCGTAAGGGCTTGGGGAAAGGGGCGACGGAGGTAGGGGAGAATTCCAAGGTGGAGCGGTGCGAGGGAAGAAGCGGAAAGAGAAGTGGGGTGAGATGCAGCGTGTCGAGTGAGAGGGTAAGTGAGAGGCTGAGTGTGTTGTTGTGACCTGTAGGGTGGTCAGTGAGAGGCTGAGTGCGTGAGTGAGTGGGATGTTGTGACCTGTAGTGTGGTAAGTAAGAAGGTGAATGGGTGAGTGAGTAATTGTAACATGTAGTGTGGCGAATGAGAGGGTGAGTGAGTGGCTGAGTGTGTTGTTGTGACCTGTAGTGTGGTTAGTGAGAGGGTGATTGCGTGAGTGATTGGGTGAGTTGCTTGTTGTGTGAAATAGGACCTTCTGAGACACCATGGCCCTCTGAGACACCAAAGCCCCTCTTAGACACCATGCTCCTCTGAGACACCAAGGCCCTCTAAGACACCAAGACCCCTCTGAGACCCCAAGGCCCTTTTGAGACACCAAGGCCCTCTGAGACCCCAAGGCCAATCTTAGACACCTAGGCCCTCTGAGACAGCAAGGCCCCTCTGAGACACCAATGCCTCTCTGAGACACCAAGGCCCCTCTGAGACACCAAGGCCCCTCTGAGACACGAAGGCCGTCTGAGACACCAAGGCCTATCTGAGACACCATGGCCATCTGAGACACCAAGGCCCTTCTAATAAGGCCGTCTGAGACACCATGGCCCTCTGAAACACCAAGGCCCCTCTAAGACACCAAGGCCTCTCTGAGACACCAAGGCCCATCTGAGATACCAAGGCCCTTTGAGACACCAATGCCCCTCTGAGACACCATGGCCCCTCTAAGACACGAAGGCCCCTCTGAGTCACCAAGGCCCCTCTGAGACACCACGGCTCGCCGAGACACCAAGGCCCATCTGAGATACCAAGGCCCTCTGAGACACCAAGGCGCTCTGAGAGACCAAGGCTCGGCGAGACACCAAGGCCCATCTGAGACACCAAGGCCTATCTGAGACACCAAGGCCCTCTCAGTCACCAAGACTCTCTGAGACACCAAGGCTCGCCGAGACACCAAGGCCCTTTGAGTCACCAATGCCCCTTTGAGACATCAAAGCCCCTCTGAAACACAAAGGCCCCTCTAAGACACCAAGGCCCCTCTGAGACACCAAGGCCCCTGTGAGACACCAAGGTCCCTCTGAGACACCAAGGCCCTCTGAGACACCACGGTCCTCTGAGACACCAAGAACCTTCTAAGACACCAAGGCTCCTCAGAGAAAACAGGGCCTTTCTGAAACACCAAGGCCCACTGAGCCACCAAGGCACATCTGAGACACCAAGGCCCTCTGAGACACCATGGCCCTCTGTGACACCAAGAACCCTCTAAGACACCAAGGCTCCTCTGAGAAACCAGGGCCTTTTTGAGACACCAAGGCCCACTGAGTCACCAAGGCCCATCTGAGACAACAAAAGCCCTCTAAGACACCAAGGCCCTTCTCAGAAACCAAGGCCCTTCTGAGACGTCAAGGCCCTCTGAGACACCAAGACCCATCTGAGACACCATGGCCCTCCGAGTCACCAAGGCCCCTCTAAGACACCAAGGCCTCTCTGAGACACCAAGGGAACTCTGAGAAACCAAGACCCATCTGAGACACCAAGGCCCCTCAGAGATACCAAGGCCCCCTGAGACCCCAAGGCCAATCATAGACACCTAGGCCCTCTGAGACAGCAAGGCCCCTCTGAGACACCAATGCCTCTCTGAGACACCAAGGCCCCTCTGAGACACTAAGGCCCCTCTGAGACACGAAGGCCTCTCTGAGACACCAAGGCCCAT